AATAATAAAATATTTCATTATTAGAGATAGAGCTACTTCCGATTAATCATGCTGCTATGAAAGGAAACATCCATTTTTAACCTAAGTGTACAATTTTTTAAGTAACTCTTACTGAATATTAATAAATTAAAATTTAAAGACTATTGAAATAAAAATTCAGACTCCACATGAAACTTGAGTGCTGAGGGTACTCTTTTATGAACATTTTATGCAAGTTAAACATACTGTCATCCAAATAACGTTTTTGTTTTTTCTCTTTTCTTCTTGTTATTGTTTCTTTTTTCACTAGGCACAAACGGCTTGTTCGATCAATTTCTAGAAATGTAAGTACATTTAATCACGATTTTTCTGTTAAATCTTTTTCTGATACAGATTTTAAAGTTTCTTGCTCTTTTTTTTTTACTTTCTTCAAACAATATAGGGTTTTCTTTTAATTTCTGTCTAGCTTGTCTCATACTAAGTTTTTTCTGTTCCCTTCTCTTTTGCATTTGAGCATTTGATTGCTTTCTTTTTTTACATTTTGGTTTTACCATTTTTTTCCTAAAATTTGAAGAGAAAAAAAATGTTGAACATCGCAGAAATTAATTAGAAAAATTGCCAATATTTACTTCTCTGATAAGAAAAAGTTAAACTTAATTGGTTTTCTTTAAAAATACAAGCAAATTAACACATTTGTCCCTTTTAAAAGAAAACCAATTAAAAGAAAATAGTTTTTTAATTATTAAAATTGTATTATGGTTATCGAACACTCTCTTCCATTGACTGTGTCCTCTCCTCCGTGGACTTGTTATGTCCACGGAGGGGACAAAAATTAGTTCTTGAATTTTACTGATTTTTAATTTTAAAGTTACAAAAATGGGGCAGTTCTTTTAATTAAATATACTATTTTTGCAATCTAAAATTCATCTATCAAAAGTAAAATAATTTTCTCTTACCTTCTTTATGATGTTCACGGAGTATACGGTGAGAACTTTGCCAAACCCCAGTTGAACACAACAATCCAAAACTGACACCAAAGAGAACTAAAACAACTGATAGTTAACATTAGAAAATGGAATGGTTACCTTTTCCAGCAGCTGTCTTATAGGGATTTCGCATATGCATTTTTTATTGCGTATTTACCGAACTATATTAATTGTCCATGGAGGGAGATTTCATTTTTGATGGACAAAGTGTACTAGTCATTTATTTTATAAAAAGAATTTTTCATTTTTTTAAATATTAATTAAAAAGTTACTATAAACATTCAACTAGGTAAAACTACAAAAATCATTAAAATGGTATTTAAATTGTTTAACAGCCATTAAAAATTATTTTGTGTCAAAGACGTAGGGACGTCCACGGAGGGGATTTTGAAGTTATGTTTATTAAAAAATAAGAATTAAATATTAGATATATTTAGCAGAAATGCATATGATTTGTTAGTTAGAACTTTACGAAAAATGATGAAGAAAAATATTAAGAAATCTGCTGTATTTCCTAATATTTATTACTAAGGGACTTAAAAAATCACCTTTTTGTGAGAGTGACCCTTAAGTAGATATATAGGTTTGTCGACATGTCGTTTGTCAATTCATATGTTAGTCGAAACAGTCATTCATATGCTTGTCAATCAGCAACATTTTTAATTTATTGCTACCAAACCTTCTTTCATGATTGCATGGAAAATCTTGAAAATGAAAAAAAAAATTCCTTTAACAATAATTGTTTTTACCTATTATGTATCATTGGAAAGTTTAGAATAGTCACATAAGTAACTAAACATCTGTTTATCTTTCAGTTAAAACTTCATGCTTGTCTGTTCAGCTACGTGGTGTGTCCTTGCAAATGGATAATTTATATTCATTTACAGTAACACACCAAGGCATTTTCTGTTGTTTCTGACAGCATCTCACATACTTCAAAAACATTCTGACTCTATCATTAACAACATTTCTAGTTCTAGTTTATTGCAGACAGACTTTCTTCCATGACGGTACGGAAGTTCATCCCAATGAGAAAAAAAAAGCTTTATTTTAGTTCTAACAATACAAAATAGTTAATAATGTTTACCTATTCTGTGTTATTAGAAAATTTAGAACCTTCATTTGAGTAACTTAGCAATTGCTTACCTTTAATTTGGGGCCTCGTGCTTGTATTTTTGTATGACTGTGATCACGACTCATGAAAGTGAAAAACGCTACTAATTTACTAATTTGCAAAAAACTTTTTCTTATAAATAGATTCCATCTGTAACAAGCGTAAGGAACTAAAGTGACAGCCTTTGTATTAATATTTCAAAAAAGAGTAAATATTTCTCTAGTTCTATGAATGCATAGAAAAAGAGAGCGATAAAAGTGCAAGGGATTGGACACAACCAATTAGCATATTAATACGTTTGGAGAAAACACATATCCAGAAACTGATTTTGTTCCCTGCTTTTAGCTTAACCTTAACATTGTCCTTAATGTTAAGAACTTATAGTTTCAAATAAAATCCCACAAACATTACTTAGAATTAGTGAATAACACAAGTTCTAATTAATGTTCACTAAAAAAACACTACACTATATACTAGCATTAATTAATGAAAATTTATCTTTTTTGGAGGTGCACTTCACCTTTCTTGACAAATGGAGCTGGGTGCCTTATTTTTGGATTAAAAAAACGTAATTTGAAATAAAAAAACCTTGTTAAACTTTCCTTCTTATTAGGAATTGCTTAAGCTTATTGGTAGGTACAAATGGTTATGTATATCTTGTATTAAAATAATAATGATAAGACACTTTCCCAATATTTATTATTTAATTGATTCGATAATACAATTGTTTAATATAAGAATAATAATTGACATTGATAAGCAGTAACGGCTTCAATATTGCTTTTAGTAACCAAATTAATGCGCTGATGTAGCATCTGCAAACACGGTTTTAACCGTAGACAGGTCTACCATTTGTTGGTTGTATAGGTCTGAAATTGTTTATGAGGTGACACTGTTCAAGGTTGTTAGCACCGCGTTGAGCTCGGTAAAGACTGTAAAGTTGTTGAAGCTGAAAACAAAAATATGCGATCAAGTAACAAAAACAAACCTGTCAGCTTTTTGTTAAATAAATTAAATTATCGATCAATGCTTGAAAAACTAGATATTTTAAGGCAACTTATTAGAAACACGCAACGCTTTTAAATTCATTACCGTTACAGACCTGCCAACTTTTAATCTCTTCCACTACGATATTTCCCAGTGGTAGAAAAATGGAATTAAAACTTCAATTTTAAGCAAACAAATACGTTGTATTTGAAAAAAATTAAGTTGACAACCACATACCCTCCAACTTAAGAGGATTTTGAAAATAAATCTTTCTAGTGGTAGCGAACCAAAGTAGAAATTTTTAAGGCAAATGGATCTCTCATAAAACTTTTATCAGAACTTAAGAATCTAGCCATATGGCCTGCACTTTTATAAGTAATAGTGGACAAGTTACGCTAAAATTAATTTTTTTTAAATATTAAGACATTAATTTTGCTACCGTCTGAAAAGAAGATTTCTGAAACTACGGAAATTCCGTAGCAGTTGGAGGGTATGCAACCATGATAGTAACGCATATTAATATATGTGCTTAATTTTTGTAAGAATAGTGGTGATCAAAATCATTTAATAATTAAGTTTATAAAAGAAAAAATAGTATATATTTACTACCACTTTAAATATGAAAATAAAATCTCCCGCAAAATCCGGGAGAGTTGGCAGGTATGCCTTTATTTTGAAATCGCAGGACTCATTTTTAGGAATTAAGCGCATTCTTTACCAATTAGAAACCTAACGTCCTTATCAAACGAAGTTTCTTTTGTTAATATAAAAAAAAGTGGTAGCTCAAAGGCTTCAAAATTAAGACTTTTTTTTGGCACAGACAATATACTTAGTCCATAATGTATTAAAAATATAGATAATTAATAATATTGTTAATTAATAATATAGATAATTAATGAATTGAATTTGATGTCAAAGCACATTTTTTAGGTAACTATCAGTAATAAATATCTGCTCTTATATAAACAAATATGTAAACATTTTTTTATTTATTGACCACTTTTTTTGGCCGGTCGTAATTGAGTCAAAATCAGCTGAAATCTCGTTTAATGTCAAAATATTTAAACAAAAGGAATTACAATTAGTCCTTCACATTAACCCTTTTCTTACGGCAGTCCGCTCCGTTGAACCGGTCTGCAATGTGCGCACATTGCATATCGATAAACTGTTGTACAGCTTTTTCTTATTTAAGTTACGCATATTAATACATTTGGAGATTTTGCAAAAAGTTTAAATTAAAATGCTTTTATTTTATAACCACAGTTGATCAACCGATTTTGGGTTTACGACTATCATTTATCGACTCCATTTCTTTGTTATTTTGAACCCAATCTAGAAGACAAGGGAACTCCTCAATCAAGTATCGGGAGAAATTTTAATTCGTTCAGTACTTCTTGATGAAACTAACCCGTGTTTTGAGTTACATAGGAAGGAAATCCACGAAAACCTCCCACAGTTAGCCTAATGGCTAAGGGACTCTAACCCACTATCCGTCAAGCACTGATAATATTTTACGTTACCACTGTGGTCGGTGCGAGCCGGCTGCAGAATTCGCATAGACTAGGATTTGAACCCATTCACTTCACTGGCAGGATAAGCGCTCTATCCCCTGATCCACCAAAACTCTTACGAAGCATATTAAACGTATTCAAATATACTTTTAGTTGTTTTAATCCAATTAAGATCAATTAAAGTTTGAAGCAGATAAGGCCAATTATCAAACAGTATCACTCTAAAGCCGGCTAAATATGGCACTGGATCGCGCACGTCGTCACGTGGACGTCGACATGGCACTCGTAATGGCACTAAATACGGCACTAGTAAGTACTGTGCATCGCTTGGATGCCGGTAAGATTAGATTAATTTTGTTTGAAGAAAAGTTTAATTTTGTAACTGCTCGTTATGCATATCGAAACTGTTGACATAGTTGAAAATTACAGAATTATTTCAAAAAATAAAATTTAAGAGCTTAAAATAATCGATCATCATTTTGCTACCTTTGAGCCACGTGATCTTACTTTTATATTTTATTGGTATTTTTGGTCTGTTTAATTATGAACCTTAAATTATGGGAATTGTCATTTATTTTGGGAATTATCTTTGTTATCATTTTATCCCTATTTCTCTGAATTGAATCTGTAGACATACTTGAAAACATAAGACTTTTCAATTTAAATTTAAGTGATCAACATAAAAAATATAGCATTTTATCATGTTTCTAACACTACTATTAGGTGTGAAATTGCTAATGGGTTAGATCCAATAATTGGTTAATAGGTAAGATCCAATAACTGTGATTGGAGTTAAACTTCTTCAGTCAGATTTAATCAAGGTTCTAACGTCCTTTCAACTGCACGGTTTATATCTTTAAAAAGGAAGTAAATAGAACAAAAGTTTCATTTTTAGGATTAATTCTGCGGAAATAAGAAGTTTTGCCTATCATGAAATTTTAATTGCATAAGTTATATGAAGTTTACATTCAAATTAGAGTGATGTTTTTTAACCCTGTCGCGCCGACTGTCACAAATATGTGCCAGCATAAAACCGTATCAATCAGGGTAAAAAGATATAACTGGTAATCAAAGTATTTCTTTAGCAGTTTATTTGTGGGCGGAGTTATAATTGTTTGATTTATTTAATTCATCATCACTTTGTTCAAAATAAAACTATTTAGTTATACTTTGAAGCAACATTGATTATATATATGATTAAACTAATAATAATTAAAGTAAAAGCAAGGTAAGTCTGTCAAATTAGCAACGACTACATTTAGGTTACCGTTTTTTGTTGATTTACAACTTGATTCTGAATTTGTACGAATACTTTTCTGAATCACCCGTCCCCAAGGGGTTAAAGGTTAAAGTGGAAGATATCAGAAATGCGGTATTGATTCGGTATAAACATGTATGTATTAAAATTTTTTACATCTATGTGTTTTTTTAACATGTAGACCACATTCAGTGCTTAGTCATTAATGAGTCATGAAACAAAAATGCTTCGAAAATGTGGTTTATCACAATCTTGTATTGACTTAAATAACCATTTTAAACTATTTTGAGGGACAAAAAGTATTAAAACTAATTAGTACTATGAATTTATACCTGAGATGATGATATTTGTTTGTTTGGTTTCATAACCAGCCAGTACTTAGTCTCGTTGCACGGAGGAAACTCAATTGAACCCGCATAACGATAATACGCTCCACCGACTTGAACTAGATCATCTAGGTAGATCATGGTTCTCCCTGGATTATTGGAATCACTTTTTGAAACTTGACCTTGAAAATATTCACCCTCATACGTATAAGAGCCCCTGACAACCAGCATGACATCGATAGAGTAATTTATTTGGCCTTGCTAATAAAATAAAAAGAAGTAGTCAGTATATAAATAATAATTAACGCCGATAACAATAATAATTAATTTGATACTGCTAATCAACAAATAATAATTAATTTGACTTTGATAATAATTGACTCTTGTTATGTATTCTCATACTCACTATACCAATCAGATTATTAGGTTTTACCGAAATAATTCAAACTACAAAGAGTTTTTAAAAGAAACTGATAAATTTGAAACAGATTTAATTAATAGCCATTTTCCTAGTTCATTTCTTCAATTTCATTTTGAAAATATTTTAAACCACTTAGAACAATAATTTTTATCTTATTTAATATTTCTGTTTAAAGAATAAGCTCTGATTTATTTTTAAGGTAGGAATTAACTATGATAAGCTATTCATAAAGCAACTGGACGGAATAGTTTGGTTGCATGATCTTTTATACTGGATTAGTTAGATTTTTGAGTAAGCTTCTAAATAAATTGTAGCCTTTTTTAAATAACTTTATTTTTAATTGTCCAGTATAATAAACAGCTTATTTTTATTTTTACTACATTTTTTTTTTGTAAGAATGGAATGGGCTCTGGTTTATTAACAGCCACCACCGATGAATGCAGGAAATACCAGTAGACTTTAAAATTGTGAAAGTATGCATGAATGAAGGACAAAATCTATAAACGGCTTTCTATCCATGTAGGCAGGCTCTGATTTATAAACAGCATACCCTCCAACTGCTACGGAATTTCCGTAGTTTCAGAAATCTTCTTTTCAGACGGTAGCAAAATTAATGTCTTAATATTTAAAAAAAATTAATTTTAGCGTAACTTGTCCACTATTACTTATAAAAGTGCAGGCCATATGGCTAGATTCTTAAGTTCTGATAAAAGTTTTATGAGAGATCCATTTGCTTTAAAAATTTCTACTTTGGTTCGCTACCACTAGAAAGAATTATTTTCAAAATCCTCATAAGTTGGAGGGTATGATAAACAGTTACCCTAGTAAAGATGGGATATATATTATATATACATACCTGCCAACTTTTAATCCTTTCCATTATAATTTTTCCCAGTGGTATTAAAATGGAATTAAAACTTCAATTTTAAGCAAACAAATACGTTGTATTTGAGAAAACTTAAGTTGACAACCATGATAGTAACGCATATTAATATATCTGCTTAATTTTTCTAAGATTAAAATCATTAAAAATTTAAGTTTATAAAAGAAAAAATGGTATATATTTACTACCACTTTAAATATGAAAATAAAATCTTCCGGAAAATCCGGAAGAGTTGGCAGGTATGTAATATATATCCCCTAAGTGGGAGGAGCCATCTTCTCCGCAGAGTATCAAAAATCATGCCCTGTTTTCAATTGATCTTCACGACTGTTTTCCAGACCAACGCCATTAGCTTATTGTGCAGCTCTAAGGCAACGTAAATAAACAACTACCTATGATATGTTATCACAAGTAAAATTATCTTAAAGAATTTCGAGATGTATAAGGATGATATCATTGAATTCATATTTTAAAAGTTATGTAGGCCAACGTTTTTCTTATATCGATTGAACTGTTTTAATATTTTCCCCTGTATTAGTTAAATTTCTTTGCTTCATTAGTTATAAACGAAATATTTTTGAAATTTACATAATATTAATGATCGAAACACAAATAAGTAGACTAAAATATTTTAAAAAAACACATATTTGAGACTTTACAAAAGCTATTACGGGAAAATATTTAAATAATGCTTATTAAATGCATTCAAATACTCTTTTATTTTGTCTAATTTGGTACAGCATCTTCAGTTTTGTAATCAAAAAGTAAGCTAATTCCTGAACAATTCTAAAGGCAAATGATTTATCAGCCATTTTCAGTGCAGCTTTCATTCACTACGTAATTCCTACGTCGTATGCTTTGGATTATGGTAAGAGAAAATATTTTTAAAAAAATTAATTAAGAAAGGTTTCCTTTTACCACGTTGTAATGACGTATATTCAGCTAATATTAAATAATTATTTTACTAGTCCAGTTCCAGATTGCTTCCTTTAAGTCTGCACAGTTCATTTAAAATAATTAATAATATTTTAAATAACAGCTTGTATACCTGCATAAAAGAAGACAAAGTAAGAAGACGTCCATCTTGGGATTTGTGCTCCAAATGACACTGAAAAAAATTTTTTAATTTGTTAATTTTTAAAGCATTTAAAATGAGACATTAAGAGATACTACCAAATTCTGCTAAAAACAGAAAAAAAAATTCTTAATCATTCAAATTACAATCGTTATATTTACTTTAAACTATTAAAATAAAATATTGCAGTGACGTCAAAAATATAAATATAAATTCTATCTACACGCCAGTTCGGAAATGACAGATGCCAACTTTCTGTGCTTTTTTGTAAATATTTATTATATTGGTAGCTATGTTTTTTCTTAAATTGTTTTGTTTTTTTATTTATTTAAACTTATTTTCCACACCACCACATAAGAATAATTTAAGAGTTCATAAGCAACGACACTTGTATTAGCATATTAGCGATGAGGATTTAAATATAATGGCAAATTACTATTGGTTATTAAATATCTACCACTCTATGAAATATTTTGCTGAAAACGAAGCGTTTAACGCATACCAACATTTAACGTGCACCTTACTACACATGGTAGCATAGTGTACGACCAGTATCAAACTGGAAAAACCTTTAAAATCTCCACCAGTTGTGTTGCAACACCGTAACTAATTTTTCTACGTTAAAAATAGAAAAAATATTATCCCTCAAATTAACTAATTTATTTTAAACCCTTTTATCACCTTTATTATTTTATCTGTTATTTAATTTTGACAGCTAACACTTAGTATCATTTATAATAATGTTTATTTTATTAATACTAAAACTGCTTCCAAAATTCATATATTTAAGATAAATATTGCTAGACTCGTTACATTAAAAAATTTGATTTGAGGCTCATACACATTAATCTATTTGGCTCTTTGCACATTAATAAACTATTTTCAACTATGCATACATGCCAACTATATAAAAATCTCAATTCTGCGTTCTTTGTCGCTTATGTTTACGTTGCGTTTTGTCGCTTACGTTTTTCAATTACATTACAGTATTAACCCTGATAAGAAACATGTGGTTCATGTCTACTGCTAACCAAAAAACAGTAATAACTATTTTGAAGAAAAGATAAAAGTGCGCAACAAAATATATTCTTTTTTTTTTTCCTTGCGAATTTTAAACCTGTACATCTTTGCACTATACGTTATTTTAAAAAAAATAAAAATACCACGCAAAAAAAAAAATTATAAAAATACGGTGATTTTTTTTATTTAGTAATAAAGATTTAATAAAATCGTAAAAATGCAAAAAGAAACTATAGAGAAAAATAATTTTTTTACTTAATATTATGTCACTATCATTTTATGATTTCAAGTTACACAAAAACTTAGAAATGGTGGTTCATTACCCTTTAATAATAATTCAGTTCGCAGACATTTAGTGAGAATAACTTAATTCTTTGATATTATTTTTATTATGGGTTCGTTCAACTGTTATAGTTGTTTACATAATTCCGCGTTTTTGGATAAAGTAGAGATAAAAGGGCACTTACTTCGATAGTGTATTTTCGTCCGTTAATTGCGTGTTCTGAGCCTGCGTTTGAACTACTACCAAAATGGAAATGAACAGACGTCAACATGTATATTGATCCGTTAAATGTCAGAGTCCTTTGAACACCATCCATGGGATACATATTAACTGAAATTGTAAAAAAAAATTTCTCTAAATATAATCATAGATTCTTGATACCGTGAATTAAATAACAAGAACAAAAAGAGAAATAGCAGTAGTAAGTTTTGTATTTTGAACCAATGTTATTACTTGCTTTGCTCAGTGGAAGAATTTTGCCTTCACTAAATACATTTGACATTCGTATCAAATAAATTAGTGAATACAAGGGCTCTATGGAGGAGAAATAACAGTAGTGAGTTTTGTATTTTGGTCTAATATTATCACTTGCGTTACTCAGGGAACGCTTTTGCATTCACTAAATGCATTTGATGCATGTATCAAATAAAGTCAGTGAATGGATGGACTCTATGGAGGAGAAATAGTAGTAGCGAGTTTCGTATTTTGGATCAGTGTTATTATTTGTGTTACTCAGGTGAAGAATTTTGCATTCACTAAATACATTTTATACCTGTATCAAATAAATTCAGTAAAGTCAATTTTCTGTGATGTGAGAATGTGATGTGTGAATTCAAAATGTTATCTGCTATGCTGGTCACCATTTCCGGTTATCCAGGCATGTGCTAGAAAGCTTTAAAGTTCAGTTGCCGAGTAATTTGTTGCTGAATGGAAAGTGAAATCTTAAAGTCATTCCATTGGAAAACAGAATAAGAATAGACAAATACCGAATGGTCATTCTCTTTAAGATAAAATAGCAATTTTTAAACAAAATTATTTTTGTTGGGTCTGAAAAAAGTTATTACTTTTCATGCCGTGAACCTGAGTTACAATAAACAGTACTACCTCGAGACTAATACACAATAGTCCGATATAAAACGTTCTTTGCATAAATGATCCAAGATGCTATATCGTTTTGTATCTTGGACCTATTTTTCTAACTTGAAAAATATTTTTCTAAGTTTGCAAAACCGTTCACAATTTAAAAACTATTTTTATAGATCAAGGTACAATGCATTTCCTACTAACTTTAACAGTTAATTAAGTTTTTGCTATTTGAATAAAAAAATGAAACAATTAAACTAGCCATAAAGTACAACACTCACGCCTATATTAATTACATTGTATAAAATACATCAAGTGGATGCATATTACTTGAAATTGTGAAAGATATTTATTATGATCTTTAAACTATGGTTATACCGTAGTACAAATACAGGAGAAACTATAGGAATGGTACAAAATATGAAATGATAACTGTTGGAAATAAAAGTACAAAACTACTATTAATTTAAATAAATCATATAATAATTCCTCGAATTATTGTGTCAATTTACCATGATAAAAAGTAACTTAACTTGTGTACTTATTTGTTTAAAAAATCCCTTTCAAAGTCAATGCTCGTAATGCTCTCTAACTCTATTAATTTTAAATGATTTTCGACATACTTGTTTATTACACTTGTTACAAAGTTTTGGTTTTGCAGGCTGTGGACTTGAATCATTCACCATACTCTTCAGAACTTCTCTTGTTTTGTTTATTCTCACAGACCTCTCTTATTTTGTTTTTAATTTACTAGTAAAATTACTTTTTTTATATATTTTATTGCTAAATATTATGAGTTTGTTTTAATAAAAAAGTTGATTTAAAATATCATAAAAAATATCACTGTTTAAAATTTCTAAATAATACAACTTTAATTAAAAATAATTTTATGATTTGAAAGAAATTTAACAAAGGTATGATTTTTATTAATTTTCTTATGTAATTTTTTCTCATTTTTGAGATAAATAATCTTCTAATACAATACTCAATCAGTAATATAACACATAATTTCTGGATATAAGAATACATTTTCATTTAGGAAAAAAAGAATAACATTAAGCTAAATTCAAAATAAATAATTATAATATATTTCAAAATTCTGTTTAAAACTAAAGTAAGTGTGAAAATAATTAGTGTTTGAAAAAATTAAATGTTAAAAAAAATCTTTTCTTTTACTACATTGAATTTTATTTTGCTTTAACTTTGAACTATTCATTAAGTAGTTATCATACATATATTAGTTATCATACATCTATAGTTATGATACATACATTAAATAGTTATTATCATACTAATATACATATTAATTTCATTAAATATTTATGTTTGGTCATTTTAATTTCCACATTAGTTTACATTAGTTTCTTCCATTTTGTTCAGTTCCTTGTCCACAACCCATATTTTTTATATATTTAGACAAATTGTCAAAATAGTTGTAAGTCAAATTTAATAAATAAAATGACCAAGCATAAAAAAATAAAATAAAATTGCTAAGCATACCTAATTATCTGCGATAAATCTTCAAATATAATGAATGAATGGTATAATGAATATTTTATACTTCAGTAACAGCACACAGTATTTCATATCTGCGCAGATAATATAATAAAATATATAAAAATAAAATAAAAACTAAACTCAATGCTAAGGCCTACTGTGCCAAATCTGTTTTCCTGACCTTGGGCTCTGGGGTGCAACAGCAGTTGTTCCAGTTGAGTGGTCAGTCGAACGTGGAACCCCCCAGTGTTTAGCCCCAAGCTTGGTACTCATTTCATCGACCCACTGAATGGATGAAAGGCTGAGTCAACCTTGCTCGGCCCGAGGATCGAACCAAGGACCTGTGGCACGAGAATAAAATACATATTTACATAAAGTAGATTAATAAAACGCTTTAAAACTCACTCCTGTAGCCATTATTTTCAATCTTGACTTGCCTAATAGGTTTGTCATAATTCGTGACTACAAGGTTACGGGGGTCTTGCAACACTTGTGACGTTATGATATTGATGGGTGATTGCATTTGTCCGCTGCAATTGCAATACGTGCGGTACCAATTTGACGGACCTAAAGAAAGGAATAAAATCAGTCATTTTCTGTAAATTAATATATTAACAATTAAAAATGAATATTTTTCAAACGAATTAATGTGTTTTCGAGCAAATAAGCATATTTGTGCAACTGTTTATTATCTCTTAAGCGTAAATGATGTAACGTAACGTAATACTCTCTTACTTACGTAATAACTCTTATATTTGTGCAACTATTTATTATCTTTGAAGCGTAAATGATGTAACGTAACGTAATACTCTCTTACTTACGTATTAACTCTTAAATAAAATTTTGGGAAATAATAAAATATAGTAATTTGTATTTTGAAACGATTACACTTTAGTTACTTACAATAAATACTCTGTCCCTTAAAAAAGCAAATCCGGAAATTACAAAATTCCGGATAATGGTACTGTAATGAGAAATGTACTTCTGCAAAATCTATTTTTGCCATTTTATACCGTAAATTTACAATATTATTTGTTTAATTGCAATGATTTAGTGATTTAGCAGTAAATATTATTGAGAAAAATACAGTTTATTAATACATATTTAATTATAATGACTTGGTGATTTTACAGTGACTATTACGGTAAAAATTACGGTATATCAGATTTTTTGTTCCATCTATTCTACGGAACAAAACAGGAAAATACTATAAAAAGTATTAGCACTTCTGGTGCCACTACTTTTTACCGTAATTTGAGCCAGAATTTCATATAGTGTAGTACTTGCGAATCAATTTTTTTCTCATTTTCAATATGTTTTTAAAGTTAGATTGTATTTATAGTAAGATAGTTAACGATCAATAAGCTTAATTTTTGATGAAAAAATTTTATATTTCAAAATAAATGTTTATTCTTACCATTGGGTAGACTATCATCATAACACCAAGGTTTGTTTCGATCAGATGGACATACTGCTCTGGAGGACGTTATACCTGCAATAATGGCATTGATTATTATTGTTATACGAATAAGGTATTTTGCACTTACGATAGATTTTTGCGTTAATATTCTTTGCATATAGAGACCATTGACGAAGATCTCAACTCCAATCACCAATAACCACTTCCTCTTAAAAACTAATTCAATTCCATCCTCATTGTTAGTCGGAGAAATATTATCTTAAAAATTAGTTAGGTCAAAAATCCACGACAATCTGTCTTTCTGTAATCACCAATAGCCACTTCCTTTTAGAAACTGATTCCAATTCCATCCGCATTGTTAGTCGGAGAAATATTAACTTAAAAATTAGTTAGGTCAAAATCCACAAAAATCTGTCTTAGTGCGAGTTCTTTATTCACCAATAACCACTTTCTTTTAGAAACGGATTCCAATTCCATTCGCGTTGTTAGTCGGAAAACTATTATCTTAAAAATTAGTTACATCTAAAATCAACGAAAATCTCTCAGTGAGGGTTCCCTAATCACCAATAACCACTTCCTTTTAAAAACTGATTCCAATTCCATCCTCATTGTTAGTCGAAGAGATATTATCTTAAAAAATTAGTTAGGTCAAAAATCCAAGAAAATCTATCGCGTTTAGAGTTCCGTAATCATCAATAACCACTTCATTTAAAAAATAATTCCAATTCCATCCACATTGTTAGTCGGAGAAATATTATCTTAAAAATTAGTTACTAAAATCCAAGAAAATCTCTCATAGTGAGGGTTCCGAAATCACCAATAACCAGTTCCTTTTAGAAACTGATTATCAAGTAATAAGAATTAATAAAAATGATATTTAATAATCGTAAAAAACATGTCTTTCTTTCTGTTTGCATTTAAAGGAGATGATGAAAGAATAATAAATATTGTTTTCTTGCAGACGATTTTCTTCTACAGCGAAACAAAAGTAAAAGTTCTTTTATTCCGCATTTGATTTATTCCAATCAAATTAATTGCTATGCCATATAGTTGTTTCGTTTTAAAAAACGAATATTTTTCGTGTATTTCAAAATATGTCACCAAGTGTAGATTATAGTAAGAGTCTATAACTTTTTTTTAAATAATTCTATAAAATATATATCGTAAAATATAGCACAAAATAAATTTCTGTCTGACGTGCTTTCCAATGCTTTTATATTGTTTTAAAAGCATATTTGTACAATTTGATTACGAAATGAAACGGTCCTATCAGTCGCAGATGATTACTTAAATCCTTTACCGCAATGGTCTTTTCCTAACTTTCAACAGAATATATTAACCTATATTTTTCCATCATACTTATGAAACAATGGTTTTGTTATTAAAAATATATATATAATGATTTAAAACATTAGCTTCGTTATTAAGAATTTATATGCAAAAATGATCGATGTTATTTAATACGTTCTTTACTTTACTTTATTTTACAAAAATTGGGAGCATGGGCCACTTAGCGGCCCCTATCCCATACATCTAGAAATTTACAGAAAATTTATAGTAATAACATTTTGAATTTAGCAGTCGATGTGGTAGCTAATAGAAAAACAAGCACTTTGCTTGAGTAAATATAACATTTGAATATCTGATTCATCGAATCTAAGTTGATATATATAAATATAAACATAATTTGACATATATATACATAAGTTNTCAATATTAAATAATATTCGGGAGACGTTAATCTATTCTCAACAATAACAATTCACTGTAAGGAAATTTATCACTGCGAAGAAGCAATTCAAAATAAAAATTGCATCCGTTTAAAAAAATTAGTAGTTATGGATTTTTATTATTCCCGGAAAAAAACTAAAATATTAAATTTATTGTTACCAGTTTTTACTCCAGTGCGCTGCCAAGATGAGACAATCCAACGTGACCCACCGGTGGGTCACCCCGGCGTGAACGTGTTAATGTGGATGAGACGGAAATTAGGGTTTTCAAAAATCATGTTTGAATAATACAGAGAGAAAAATTCTTTTGTTGCATTTAAAATACTTGTTCGCATACCTACCATTTTTCCCAGTGGTATTAAAACGGAATTTAAACTTCAATTTTAAGCAAACAAATACGTTGTATTTGAGAAAGCTTAAGTTAACAACCATGATAGTAACGCATATTAATATATGAGCTTAATTTTTGTAAGAATAGTGGTGATCAAAATCTTCTAAAAATTAAGTTTATAAAAGTAAAAAATAGTATGTACTTACTACCACTTTAAATATGAAAATAAAATCTTCTAGAAAATCCGGAAGAAGGATATGTGTTCGTATCCAATTCGTTCGATTGTTCGTTGTAGAGATCCTGAATCAGACAGGCCGACTTATCATTTATTGTTGGAGCAAAGAGCTTACATATGCACAGCGAATAAATATTTTCAAGTGGTAGTTTATTAATTGTAATTATTGGTTTAATAAGTTCGATTTAGTAGATTTTAATCCACCACTATTTCAAAACAATGCGTAGGCTTATATAATTCGCCACTTCATACAGGGTTCCCGCGGTCCTTGAAAAATTTAAAAGGTGGTAGCAAATTTAGGGTGGAGCTACAATATACTATTTTATTTTAATAAACTTTTTTATCGTAAAGTGCTGAAATTTTCGTGCATATATATATTTTTTAGAAAACAATTTTTAGTGGTGGCTACACAGAAATAAAAATGTCAAAATTTCTTTTATTTTTATTACCACTTTTTAAAATTCTCAAGGACCGTGGGAACCCTGTCATAGTATTATTACTTGATTTGGTCACACTCAAAGAAATTGCTGTTCTCCTCCCAGATGTGTTAAATGTGCCGCGGGTCATCGATCCTATTTGTGCCATAAGGACATCAACATACCTCCAAAATGCTGTAACTGTGGGGAAGCACACACTGCTAACTACACGGGATGCAGCTTCCGTCCCCCTAGGAGGGGCCATCGTGTCACTCCAGCTATAGTTCCCACTTCAAAAGCAGGCAAAGCTCATAGACTGGTCTCAATTTTAAAAGAACTACAAGAACTATTAAAAGACAGAGAAGTTTTCCAACTACTGCAAACAATCATGTCCACTTCTGAACAATGTCTCCCTCTGACTTGTTTTCACTCAACATAGAACTCTATTCTACTGAACTTATGAACTGGTAAATTCAACACTAAATTTAATACTGCTTATTGCCACGTTAGATAAGGAAACTAACTAGATAAGGAAACCACTAAGAAAATGCAAAACTTATGCTAAAACTTCATGATTTTGTTTCATTTCACATTTGTCTTACAAATCACGTAATTCTAACTCAATTCAATGCTAAAATGTCAATTGTATTTGTATATATCTTGATTCTATTCATATCTATATCACAACTTATGACTGCATCAAATTTAAACTCCATTCAATGCTAAAATTTCAATTGTACTTGTTTATATTTTAAATTAATTCACTTTTAAAACACAACTTATGATTGCATCAAATTTAATCCCATTCAATACTTCAATATCAATTGTGCTTTTTATATTCATGAAAATTTCTGATTATTTTATAAATCATGACTCATATTAAATATCAATTCATGTTTAATTTATCAAGCAAATTTGCTTGATCTTCTGTTCTGCTACCTTAATGCTGCATAATTCAAAATG